TTTTAGTCTCATATTGAGACCTATTTATGGTATAGAAAGTGATCGAACTGGAGAATGATGTCTTAATCACAGTTGTAGCCAGATGAGTTAGCTTTTCAACGCATTTTGAATCGCCTCGATCGGATATCGGAATACAAAGTTATGATAAAAACACGGAAGTAAAGTGCAACTGCCTGTTTAAAACAAAAAATTCCGTTACATAGTCCGTTAAAACAACAAATTCCGTTAGTTTTTCCGTTAAAAACAAGAAATTTCTTTACATAACCACTTTTAATATATAGAAGATGTAATGTTTAATATTAAAAAAGCCGGTCAATGATATGTATAACCAAGCATTCAATTATCATTCCAAAAAAGACTCTAAAAAAAAAAAAAACAATTCATTACCACCGTCGAACAAAAGAGAAAAGCGAAAAAGATCTATCATATCCTCGATTATCACCGCCTAAAGCTAGCAATTGGAAATAATAGGACTGTTGAGATCATAAATTGAAAGTTGTTGTCGTAGTAGATCATAAGATCAAACAAAGAATTTACAGAGAACTCGTTTGAGCAAATAACTTCGGTTCTCACAGCTAGAATCTAGTTAATTGAAACTAGATTGAGGTAACACATTGAAAATTGTCGGCACTATTTATCAGAAGATCGAACAAAGAGAAAATCTAAAAAGAACTCGCGAAGGAAATAATTTCGATTCTCACCGTTGAAGTTTGGTTAATTGAAACCGCTAGACGATTGAGGTCAGAAATTGGAAGTTGTTGATACTGTGTATCAAATTTTTGAAAGCAACGGTAACTATTGAGGTTGAAGAAATCAATTGTCTGCGACCAATACTCTTGAATTTGAGGCATAAGACCTATACAATATAACATGATCGACTTACTACATGTGACCTATAAATTGATATACATATGATATTGATCCAATTGTTTGAGATCGGTTCTATTTAATATGTGACCTGTGGAAATTTATCTATTACCTATGTAATGTGACATGTGAACTGTTTATCTATGACATGAATTTGAATTTGTGATACATTATCATGCACAAAAACATGTGACTAGTTAAATTTGATTTGTGACTTATTGACATTGATCTATGATATATACAATATGACATGTGACATGTAAACATGATTTGTGACAAATTCTATTTAATTTGTGACATGTGGACATTTATCTGTGACTTGTACATAATGACTTGTAACTTGGAACATGTGACATCACCACCACAGACCCCGACACCAGATATCAACACATGTCATTTGCAAAACACCATCACGTACAAAACACCAACGACCACTAAAAATCATCCAAAAACATCGACTATGTAGCAGATCCAAAGACCAACTCATAAAGCACCCCAAAATCATCATGATTTGAGCACTGTTGATGTGCGTCACTTAGATCGCCGTGTTGCGCACCACTGCAACTACATTTAGTTCGCCAATGCACTTGACGCTCTGAGCGTCGCATACAACAGCCATTGAGCGCCTTGCCAAATATTTTGCGGCCGAAGCTCCGATAATAAAGAGAGAATGATAAGTAGAGTAGAGAGATTGGAGAAGATAGAGAGAAGGAAGAAGCAATGAAAATGGATTTAGAGTGATATAGAGTGGGGAGGGACAGGGCGACAAAGGGTGGGGTGGGTTGGTAAATTAATTTAATTTGATAATATTATTATTTAAAATTAAAAAATTGAATTCTCACCTGATTTTTGTACAAAATTTTAAATCTTATTTTTGAAAATGAAACTTAAAATCGGCATGGTGTAATTTTCATTTTACTTTTTGTGCCCTTTTTCTCTTATTATTTATCTTCATATTTAAATATTAATCTATTTTAATTAGAGTTATAACGACCCACATCTTGGACAAATGCGATCCGTTTCTTTTCATGTTCATCTTGATCTAAATGTTTTTGAAGTATTTCGTACATAAAATGTTCTTATTCTTAAAAATTTTGGAGCGTTCATCCGTTTCTTTTTGAAGTAATTCATTTGGGGAAAAAAATTCAATCAAGTGGAGTGCATAATGAACAAGCAGGCAGTTGGGTCTAATGAATGAGATGCTTTTTTCTTGGATTTCCTTTTCAAAAGGAGTGGTCTTTGAGCACAATTTGGATTATCCTTCAGGGCCAGTCCCATATTGTAAAAAGGGTAAAATTATGAAGACAGACAAATAGAGATATGTACAATATTATGAAAAGTACTGACGAACTAATTGTTCAGGCACCTTTCTGTGGCAATGTTTCGAAGGCTGAGACTGTGTTCTCGAACTTTATTCGATGCAGTGGCGCGCCACTTTGCTTGATTGCACAAGCCTGCTTGTCCTCTAATGGGCAGCGAGCTTTCAACATTGAAAATACATGGTTATTCAGTCGTCTTGCTTTCTTCATAGCTTCTAATAGGACTTCCGAACTCTGTTAAATAAGACAAGAAATTAGTTACAAAATTGAGAACTAACATGATCAAATGGCGAAGAACATGTAATATATCCCTTTCTATAGATGTTTGTATAAGTGGAGCAATCATGAAGCAACATTTTCTACGAATTTGTAGCCTGTCTTTCCTTACAGATTGAACCTTAACCACTAACTCCAAGAACAATAATAAGCAAAATAAAATCAGAAAAATGCAAAAGAAACACAGATTTATAGTGATTGACCCTCAGAAGTCAGAAAATGGTACCCACGAAAATATTCTTTATCTATCTTAGGATATTTGGTTTATCCTTGATCGAGGAGAATAACTCTACACAGTCCCAACTTTTTCGGGACATGGATTGTTCAATTCACCAAAAACTGATAGTTCAATCGATCTGAACTGTTTAACAGAACAAAAGCAAAGGCAATCACAATATATAATATGAGATGACAGCCCCAAAAACCGATTACTTATCTGTCCAACACAACAGAAATTTGTATGCCATGGTACGTTTCAAATAACTGACTTAAAATAATGTTGCATTCACCACATTCAAAAGTATAGTAACTGTAGGTAATATTTCTAAGGGCTAGCAAACCTTCTAAAAAATGGCCATATTATATTGGTAAAATTCTTTACAATAATGTTCTCACACTAGCAGAAATGCAAGATTATTCAGAATCTCTTATTACTATGCTTTTGGACATCATGCTGTAAGAAGAATAAATAGGTTTTTCTGGCAGCAAGAAGAATAAATAGGTTTTTCTGGCAGCAAGACACATTATATTAGCTCTATTAAAATTATAATTCATTTTTCTCCATCTTTTTATTGACCACACATTCTCCAATAAAATAATAAATCACTATTCTAAAATACATTTTTTTTTCCCAAAATCTAACTAAAATGGAGGCCGGACAAGGGCTAAACATTATGTCACAGCATGCAAAGTAGTTCAAAGATTTCTAAATCTTGTTTCTTCAATCAAAAATGTAATAATGTGAAAAATGATAAGCAGAAATGCCTTCATAGAAGTTAGGGTCCATTTTACTACAATGGTGGAAAATGAGTGGAAAGAAAATGAATTCCAAGGAAAGTAATTTGCCTAGAAATTATTTTACAGGGAATTGTTAATTTAGTGTGTTTGATTGGTATAATTTTCCACCCGAAAATTTTTTTAATTTTGTGTTCGTTTGGCTTTGTTTTACATGGAAATTGTTCATTAAAGTGATAATTTTTTCCACAATTGATTATAAAATTTGTTTCCATTGCCAAAAAGGGAAAAAAACGAAAAAAAAAAAAATTCCTAAAAAAATCATTTTTTTAATCAAAATTTAGTGTTCGTTTGACCTCAACAGCACCTAGAAAAGCTTTTCATCAATTTTGAGGCAAATAGGGGTGGGGGGAAAAAGTTTTCCCTAGAAAATTGTGGCAATCAAACAAACCAAAACCAAGAAAATGGAATTCCTTTTTCAAGTTCTAGGAAAAATAACACCAATCAAACAAGGCTTAAAGAAAAAGATATTTTTCCAAGATGAAAATTGTAGCTAGATTTACTCGAAAACTATACAAAGAATATCACTTCGTATTATCAGAAGTTCACTGTTAAATATTTGCGGACAGATGAACATAAAAGAAAATCATTTTACCTGGACAGTATGAAGATTCTTATGGGTTGGTGCGACTTCTACTACCTCAACCTCTGCAACATTGAGGACTTGATGTGAAAAGTCGAAAAGTTCAAAATGCAACTGTTGGCCAAGAAGGTAGATTATTGTACAACCACCCCAGGCAACTGAATCACCCAACACTTCACGATTGCTCGATTGTGCCTGAATGGCTTCCTCAAGGTATTCCTGTAGAAATATATTTAGATCAACGGCAGCCAGAAGATCGACTTTTGTTATCAATAACTACACATAAATGACAACAAACAAGAGAAAACAAATAAGTTATTCTGCTCATCTGTCTTTAACGGAATCCAAGAGATTGAATACAATATGTTTCAATTATTTAGAGTTTATTTTAATCTCTTACTATCAATATTCATTCACAACATTTTCCTAATATTAGGACTCATAGACAACTTAAATTATAATCTACTTTATGAATTCCTAATCAATTTGTTAAATATTAATTCTAAAACTCCTTGTAGACCTATATAAATAAGGCCTGATTAGGTTTTTTGTACCTCATGTTGGATTCACTATTAAATTGATAAATTTCCTAGCAAATATTGCCAATTCCTAAATTACCAAATCTAAAGCAGTAAAAGTAGACCCAACAATGCCATTAGAAGTTACAACCAATAGCTAATGCAATTTGCAAAGACCCTTAAAAAAATCAAGAATGTTGATAACGCAATACTATTTGGTGTCCCTAATCAATTTCGAATACTTATGAGCAATGGTTCAAAGCGAGAGCAGAAAAAGAGTTAAAAACACATCCTACAATTAGGAGCTAACTAATAATATAACAAGACTGAAGATAGAAGAAACAAAAAACAAAAAAAAAAACAGAGTCTTACGATTTGGAGGCCGCTATATATACGATAAAAATCTTTTGAAGTAGTAATGTCAACAAACCCTGTCTTGGGAACTGCACTCCATTTACTACAGTATTTCTCTAAAGCTGCACTTGTGAAAGCAAGTGCGTATTCCAGCACACTTCCAGCATTAATGTTGGTCTTATATAACAAATCTGAAACAAATTTAAAACAGAATAATTGATGGGAGGGGAAAAAGTAAAGAAAAAATGTCACTCATACTAAAGGGGACACGTCCAGAATCAAAAGAATGCTGAAATATTACTGGTAATGTAAACAGAGATGTTGACCGTTCCAATGAAAAAAAGATGTTTATCAAGAATATACTCCTTAAACCATGAAGTACATTGACATGAAATAGAGTATCGATTTGCAGTTCCATCAATAAATTATTTTTCGCCATTGTCCTTTGTGTTACTGTATCCAACTTTATCATATTTTTAACATGAACTGAGTGTGAAGAATGAGAAACTAGCAAAAAATGATAAAAATCTCTCCATGTCATAATTCAAGTACCTTTAAAGTCAGTTGTATTTATAGACAAACAGATCCCATGCCTTTCTCTATAAATTATTTTAGCGAAATAATTTTTTACAGACATCAAAGGAGCTTTCGCTTCATTTAATTGAACCCTTGAAAAACTATTTCCATTGCCTGTCATTGTAGACACACTTGTCAATTAGACATCTAGATAGTGAATAATTACATACCAGCAGCTTCTGCCTGTCTTGACAGCACTCGGAATACTGACGGATTTGAGAAGTGAAGATTTGATGAAGTAACAGAAGCTACAGATTTGAAGAGAGTTACAATCGGGCTATCTTCACCATCCTGGGATTGCATGATTTGCCCATCTGCACCAGGAATCAAACCCAGCCAAGGCGCAGTTTGCAAGAATTGGCTAGTGTCCACTTCTCTCTATTTAACAAGTGAGACTAAAAGTATAAGAAGCTACATTTTGAATGAACTTTCATGAAGTTTGCATAACAGAGTACTAATCAATTAGAAGTCTGAGATAATTATGACCGGAAGCAAATAGAAACATCTCCGCTATTGAAAAAAAAAAAACGATGTTTTAATCAAAAAGAACGTGATGAATAAGCAGGGTCATGGAGATCCTATTACATATATTATATGAAGACATTCTAAGTTTAGAGTTTTATTTTAGGAAGAGTACTTAAGGTTTTATTTTATAGATTTTCTAGGATTTTATTACTTGTTTCCTACATGAATTAGATTAATTTAAACCCTATATAAAGGGAATGCATGCATTGTAATAGTTAAAATTAATTATTAAATAAGTGATATTTTCTCCCCCAATTTCTTCTCTTGGCTTCTCCCCTTTCTCCTTCTCTTCTCCTCTCTTCTCTGTCCTATAATTCAGTTCTTGTTCTTTACATCCTACGTCAATTTGGTAACAAAGCTGGTGCTCTCCTATGACCGCTCTGTTCTTTTTACATGCATATGGCAGGACGGTAATTGCAGCAAATACTCAACCCACACAGATCACCAGTTGTCCAATGTCCCAACCTGTAGACCAAACTCCAGCACCACAGCAACTCACCACCACCCTATAAACCACCAGCAACTCGCCATAAAGTACAAAATCAAAAAGGTCAGCAGCAACTGAATCGAAGAAACCAGCAGATAAAAAAAAAAAAAAACAAATTTGTTTGTTTTTTTTTTTTTGCTTATATTATTAGTTTAAAAAAGAAAAAGAAAAAAAAAGTTATTTAGTGCGTGCATCTAACTGCTCACCAGCAAAGCCACTTTGAATTAGGTTATCATCGCATTGCATTATTAAAAAAGCAATCATATTGCCTTTTTCTTTGTTCATATCCCTATTTTGTGCATTTTGTAAGCCATAATCTGCATTATTTAGAATAATTTGCGTTCTCTCGGCATTCCAGTGTTATTTGTTAGCACCATGCACAACACACATAGGCACTCTTATAACTACACCCTCCATAGTATCCAAATGATCAACATCAAGCCGATTATTATCTTTCTATAGAAATTTTTTAAACCACAAACTATAATAATAGTAGTCAGATTAAAAATGTGGACCTTGATGGTCATGCTGATCCCAAGACATTCTTGACTGGCTCGAGAAACTAGAAAAATTCTTTAACTTTCACAATATGAGTGACTTGTATTTGTAATGCTAGTGTGTCACTTATAGGATGGACTAGTCATTATAGGGAATAAGTCTTACATGATGTTTATTGCCTAGGTCAACATCACAATTTGTAGGATGAGATAAAATGAACAAGTAATAAATATGCCTGTCTATTATCGAACTAAATAGCTAGATCAATTCTTTTGCATTGTAGGCGTCCATTGTTACCGAATATCTGGCCCATTTTGAAGAGATATTAAACAATTGTGACGTTTAGAAGCTCCTCATGTCATAGCTTCTAGATTTTTCAATAATGCGAATCCTGAGATCAAGTATGAAGACATTCCTGTATTCAAATCCTTGGATGAAACTTACTGCCAGGCAATACTAATGGATATATCCTTCCACCTTTACCAAGCATGTCATAAACTAGGCATAACACCTCCTTCTAGACAATCATATCCCAAGTTTAGTTGTGAGTGAGGTTGTGTTAGTCCTCTCCAAAAACTCCGCCTACAACTTCCCTGACTACAGATAAGTTTCACTTCATTCGAGATACTGTTCTTGTGTCCAACACTTGTTTATTTGTTCCTAAACCTGAGTGTTCTCATAGTCTTGCTAACGAATATGTAGATTATTTGTGTCCACATTATATTCTGGTTTGGAAACCTATTTTGGATATACCAGTATAAGAAGATGAAGGGTTTTTTTGTTACACCTATAGAATATTCAGATAGAAAGGATGAGAGCTTTGAACATTGTTTTTGTGTCCCTTCTCGTGATCACATCTTTAGTAGACCCAGTTAACAATAACACGGTTAAGGAATTAACTAAGGAGTTATCACCAAAGCCAAAATCCACATGTCCTCGACTTAATGTCAAAATTTTTATTGCATACTCCTTTGTGTAACTTCACATTGATTTTGTCATATCATTACCTTAATTGATCGATTCTTCTTGGGTTGCAATGTTTGTTAAGGTAATTATTCACTTGCACACTTTTTCTATTAATATTAGACTATTGCCTACTGTTAAAGGGTATTTAAGTCTTTTACGTAATACCTAGGGTTTCTTAAGTTTTTATTATAAATAGTGTGAGAGGCTAACACAATAGTTAAGCCTTCTTATTCTTTTACTTCAACATGGTATCAGAACAAGATTATGGGAGATTAATTCCAT